CTTTGCTGTCAGGTCTGCTAGGGGTTAGCTCAGCTCAGAAAGGTTAAGTCCTCTGCCTAAGACCACGCAGCTGGTTAGTAATGGGCCAGAATTTGAATCTGTTTTAGACAGTGAGTATAGGGTTTTATCTACCATACCCATAAACACTTGATAAACACTTGATTCAACAGGCATCTCTCTGCCTGTACTACCTTTGCCTTGTGGGTGGGAGAGATGGATAGGCAAGAGAAAAGATACTGAGTGTACGTTATGTGCTGGGCACTGGACCAGGTACCTTTACATGTATCTCATCTAACCGCAGTGGTCCTTCCAACTTTTAGTGATAAGGAAACGGAGGCTCGGAGAGGTTAAGTGACTTGTTTGGAGCCCAGTCAGATTTTGAACGTGCCTCTGATTCACCTCCTAGAGAACAACCTTTGTAGCAGGACCCTGTCTTCTGGAATCCAAAGCTGCATTCCACTGACCTCAACTCCCCATCTACTTTAGAAGGCTGGGCCAGCAAATGCCTTCTGCTTATCAGAAGCAGCACAGCAGGCCAGCCAAGGTGCTTTGCAGCCCAAATTTTACCACAAGGAGGCTGGGAGGTTGGGGGCGGGGGCAAGGGTGAGAGGGTTGAGGGGGAGTCCTCACTAGGGCACAACCATTTGTGTCTGTTTCTTCTTCCTTTTTTTTTTTTTTTTAATGTTTATTCATTTTGAGAGAGAGAGCAAGAGAGAGCAAGAGAGAGCGAGAGTGCACACGGGCGTGAGCTGGGGAGGGGCAGAGAGAGAGAATCCTACACAGGCTCCATGCTGACAGCACAGAGCCCAACACGGGGCTCGATCTCACGAACTGTGAGATCACGACCTGAGCCAAAATCAGGAGTCGGCCGCTTAACCATCTGAGCCACCAAGGTACCCCTGCATCTGTTTCTTTAATTTTAGGATTAGGGAGAGATTTGATTTGAGAAACGGGTGTCAGTGCTGAGAAAATTAGAAAGTTGAGAATCACCAATCCTGTCCATTTCTTACATTCTGATGTGGAAAACGAGGTGCAGAGAGGTGACAGGCCTTGTTTGACATCACACAGTGAGTCAGGTACGGAGCCGGGCTTGACCATGAGTCTCCAGCCTTCTAGTCCAGTGCCCTGTCACCTACACCACACACTGTCATTCTGTTACAACAGGCACTTAATTACTAAATATTTGTGGAATAGAAAAACAGCCTCTAAGCCAGAGTTGCCTGTTTGCAGACCCAAATCCATGCCAAGGTTTTGCTTTGCAAAAAGTCCCTCAAGACTGGGAGATTTCCACACATTTGGGAGGGCACTTCTTCCAAATCAAGGGACCTGCAAGCCACAGCTTAAATCCTGTGACACCTCAAAGACAATGGCAAGTCACCGTGGGACTCACCACGGGACCACCTATGCTCACCCACATTAGAGCAGGTTAGCTTAGCTGGAAGGCAGCAGCACAGGGTGGTGTAGAGAGAACCTTGTTTCAGGGTCATAGAGGCCCAGGTCTGATCTGTGCTGTGTGGGTGACTTCAGGGAAGGTTGCTGGCCTTTCAGGGCCTTCATTTCATAATCTATAAAATGGGAATGATACTACCAAACCTGCAAAGCTGCGGAAATTAGATTAGAGATAGTTAGGAGGTACGTGCCTGGCACCAGGTAGCAGCACAGTAAACGTGTAGCTACTTTTATCATCATTCGGAGCAGAACTGAACTGGAAGGAGATCTGGAGTGAGCCCAGCAGTGCCTTCCCCACCACACCCAGAAGGGAGAACTTGCACTCAAACCTGTGTGGCTGCAGGGTCTTCTGAGATACCACACAGACGCTACCGTAGAGGGTGGACTAGATGTTAATCTATGGGAGGCACCTGTGTCTCCAGGAGCCAAGGATGGCTTTGTGCAAGAGGTAGTTCTGCAGACTGATTATGAAGGTACTTCCTTCCTTAAGTCACTAAGTTGGGACCTGAGAGCTGCCAGAATGGGGGTGAGGGGGTGGGTCAGAAGGAGCTGCAAGGCCTGAACTTCCCATGTTTCGCTCTGCTGAGGATTTCAGAGGCTGTGCTCTTGGCGCAGAGGGTGGGGAACTGCTGCCAGCTCTGGCAGGCTCTGCCACTAGTTGGGGAGGAGGCAGTCAGGAGGGCCAACTAAGTAGAAGGTGGCCAGGGCTGAGAAATCCAAAGCCCCAGAAGGGCCCAGGACAGCAGCTGTCAGGCAGTTCTGAAAAGGGACCAACTAACCAGCATTTCCTGAATATCTACCCTGAGCCATCCCAGTGCTGGATACAGGGATTAAAGAGAAGCGGAGACCGAGGCCTTGACCTAGGGCTTTGAAGAGCCCAGCCTCTTCTGGGCTTAGCCATTTGGAGCTACAACGAGAATCGGCCAGTTCCACAGACTCCTAGAATATCTTGGCTAAGAGGCTCCTTAAAGCTTGTTGATTACATCATCAAAATAATGGTGAACTGGGCTCAGAGAATGGCAGACACTGGCTCAAGATCTCGCAAGGGGTCAGTGGCAGATCTGGGCCTAGAATCCAGGTCTCCAGCAGCCCAGTTCTCAGTGCCGACCATTAGCCCTTGCTACTTTAAGTATAGATTTCAAAGCTGCTTACCAGCAGAGTTGGGCTTGTGGAGAACTCTGAATGAAATAGGGGGGTATAAGGAAGGAGGCAGAACGTTGACTCTGGACTTGGCTACAGCTGACAGCCTGATGGTTAAGCGTGTGGGATTTGGAGACAGTAGACATGGGTTCAAATCCTGGTTCTGTCACTTTTCAGCTGTGCGATCTCAGTTTCGTATCTGGCAAATGGGGACCTGAACCGACCTCAACGGGCTGTTGTAGCCTTAATGGGCCAATGGATGTGACTTATGTATAAATCTAACACAAAGCGACTGTTACTGTCTCCACTTCCCTCCTCCTCCTCCCCCACCCCCCCCAAATCCTTCAAGGCACCTCAGGCTCTGCACTGATAGAGAACTCACCAAGGGTCTCCAAGGGAGTGGACCCCAGAGAGGAGATGCAGAGCCCGGAGCCGGGCCCCCAATGGCTACATCCCCGCGGAGACCCCAATCCTGGGTGCAGCAAGGCAATCTAAACAAGGGCCCCACAAGGACTCTGCCCCCGGCTGCACCGCCAGCGCTTTACGCGCACGGCACATTTGGGTCTGGGGACAAGGGACTCTTGGTGCCACAGCCTCCACCTCCAAGTCCGCCGTCTCCCCGAGTCCGGCCCCCACTCACCTGGCTCCTCAAGGGCTCAGAGCTGCCGCTCCCGCCACCGCCGTAGCTCTTTTTAGTCTCCCGGGGCCCACGTGGGGGCGGGGCAGCTCACCCGGAAGCATCTCCCCCCTTGCAGCCCGCCCCAATCAGCGTTAAGGCCACGCCCCCTACGGGCACTGGGCTGGCGGGCTGGTCAGCTCCGGCCTCGGCCCCGCCCACACTCATCGAGGCCTGGCCAATCAGGTGTGCGAAAGGGCAGGAGGGCCCTCGTTTCCCTCCCCCCCTCCTCCTTGCTCCTTACTTGGGGCCGGAGCTTGGGTAGCGGAAGGATAGTGGGGTCCTATGTGGGGGCGCAGAGGGGGTGCAGTAGGGGTCCCTGAGAGTCGGGCTCCGATGCGGTTACAGCCCTGAGGTTCTCTTTACAGTTTTCCTTTTCCCAGTCTAGTGCATACTTGGCGCTGGTTAATCGTTGAAAGAATAATTGGATGTCAAGGACATTAAAACAACACCTTAATACCGAAAACAATAGCTACGTCCATTATTGCAGACTGAGTGTTTTAAAGCTGTTGAGTTCAGCACCAGGCGGCCTTCCAGGTTTTCAGAGGAAAATTTGTTCCAGTGTAATTACTCAGAGCCTGCTCTGTGCCATGCATGGATTGAGAGACGTGATGTGAAAAGACATGGGCACTCCGGAAAAGCTCTAAGTCTGATAGGGGCATCAGGCCAGTCTAGGATGGGTACAATGCGACATTTGACCAAAGGTCTGTGCGCGGTTTGGGCAGAATATGTGCAGGGGCAGGAGGGAACCAATGAGGCTTATGGGGCTTGGGTGAACTGGTAGGATTTGGGTGGATGAAGTAGGGGTGGAGATCAATACTCTAGCAAAGGAATGCCCTTACCAAGGTGCACTAGGAATTATAGAAAAGCTGACTTTGACTTGTAGAGGAGGCCAGTGAGTTGGTTGTATTACACTTACTCTCACTCTCAGATTTTATTTCTCAAAATTGGTACCCGGAACCCGTTTTATACCTCTTTACATTCCAAGTTAAATAGGCAGAGAGGCTTACTGCTAGGGAAATATGAGACCTGTGTAGCTTCCAGCTACTAGAGTTCTGATCTGTGGTCAAATAAGGGAGGTGGGACAATGAGGTCATATTTTTTGTGCATTTAAGAGTCAGGGACACGGGGTGCCTGGGTGGCTTAGTCAGTTGAGCGGCCGGCTTCGGCTCAGGTCATGATTTCACGGTCCGTGAGTTCGAGCCTTGTGTCGGGCTCTGTGCTGACAGCTCAGAGCCTGGAGCCTGTTTCCGATTCT